CACTGTATATCTTTATGATGGGAAATTGGGAGGGGGAAATAGATGGTTGTGGAAGAACATAGCATTCTGGGATCTGGCTCGTACTGGCACTGGCGTCTTCAAGGCTGTTTGCCCTGAGTATGGAATTTCACCAGCTCAAACACCTCAGAGTTTCTCATCACATCTCGGCGGCGCTGGATTGGTTATGCACAGACGGACCCTGGGTGGAGGGAATGGGGGAGGGCTTGGGGAAAACAGGGATTTTAGTTCTGTATTGGTGTGTGGGAATTTTAGATTCCTCTTGAGTCTCCGGCAATCAGCATCTCTTAGAAAAAGTGTCTTTTCACTTCAGATGGCGTCGAGAGTTTTACTTCCCTAAGGGATGAGATGGGGGCAGGTCTGACAGTGGCTTTCGATGCCATCAACCATGGTATCTTTTTGGACCAGCTATGGGATTCGGGACTGGGTGGTGCAGTGTTGCACAGTGAAAGGAATAGAGCAATGGGGCTCTGGAAGACTATTCCACAAGGAAGGAGGAAGGAGTCTCGCCCCACTAAATGATCAACACTGAGGCTGCTTCTACAAGGGCAATTCGGAAATAAACCTCCGTTTGGTTATCAATGACAGACACTCACTTTTATTATACACATTACAAAACTACAACATTACCTTACTTTTTGACATAATCGCCATTCTAATTGAGGCACTTGTCATAATGTCTTGCAAGGTTTGAAATTCCTTAGTAGTAGTTGCTCAAAATCTGGGCTATGGGGGGGGGGTGATCAAAAACATCCCAACAGAACTGCTTCAAAAGTTCTTGGGTGTGTCTAGCGGTGTGCAGGCGAGCATTATCATGAACCAACACCACACCGGAACTCAGCATGCCCTTATGCTTGTTATGGATGGCCCGTCTGAATTTTCATAACGTTTCACCATAGACTTCTGAATTGATGGTTGAACCACACTCCATGAACTTCACTAGCCGCACTACGCTCCATGAACTTCACTAGCCACACTACACTCCATGAACTTCGACTCAACCCGTCCAAGACCGAGTGGCTGTGGTTTCCAGCGTCACATCATAGCCAGTTGGTTCCATCTCTGGCTATCGGGGGCGAGTCATTAGCTCCCGCGGAGAGGGCCCGCAACCTGGGCGTCCTCCTGGATGCTCGGCTGTCTTTAGACGATCATGTGACGGCCGTGGCCAGGGGAGCTTTTCATCAGGCTCGCCTAATACCCCAATTGCGCCCCTTTCTGGATCGGGACGCCCTACGCATGGTCACTCAAGCCCTCGTTGTTTCCCGCCTGGACTATTGCAATGCTCTCTACATGGGGCTCCCCTTGAGGTGCACCTGGAGGCTCCAGCTAGTTCAGAATGCGGCTGCGCGGGGGATTTTGGGGGCCTCTAGATGCTCCCATGTAACACCTCTCCTGCGTGAGCTGCACTGGCTGCCGGTGGCCTTCCGGGTGCACTTCAAAGTGTTAGTAACAACTTTTAAAGCGCTCCATGGCAATGGACCTAGGTATTTGCAAGACCGCCTTCTACCAAATATCTCCCTTCGACCAGTCCGCTCCCACAGAGAGGGCCTCCTTAGGGTACCGTTGGCCAGCCAATGCCGGCTGGCGACCCCCAGGGGGAGAGCCTTCTCTGTGGCAGCTCCTGCCCTCTGGAATGACCTGCCCCCCGACCTACGTACAATTGCGGACCTGTGCCTCTTCCGCCGAGCCCTGAAAACTCATCTATTCCATGCGGCCGGCCTGGCATAGTTTTGATTGGGTTTTGTTAGGGGTTTTATATTTTAGAGCAGGCTTTTATGTAATATTTACTGTGATTTTTATTATTGCCTGTTCACCGCCCTGAGTCCCGTAAGGGAGATAGGGCGGTATATAAATTTAAATAATAAATAAATAATAAGTAAAACTTCACTAGTCGCACTACGCTCCATGAACTTCACTAGCCATAATCCTTTGGCATCTTCACATTTGGCGGAATTTTCTATGGCACCACTTGCGGTGTGGTGTTGGTTCACGATAATGCTCGCCCGTACAACGCTAGACGCACCCCAGAACTTTTGAAGCAGTTACATTGGGATGTTTTTGATCACACCCCCCCCCATAGCCCAGATTTGGCACTGAGCGACGACGACTGCAATTCTCGTAAGACAACCTTGCTAAACTTTTGGGAGGGACGTGGCCTCCTGTTGCAAGTACAGGTAGTCCTCAACTTACAACGGTTCACTTAGTGACCGTTCAAAGTTACAACGGCACTGAAAAAAGTGAAAGGACCATTTTTCACTGTTGCAGCATCCCCATGGTCACGTGACTGACATTCGGATGCTTGAACAATTGATTCCCATTTATGACGGTTGCAGTGTCCCTGGGTCACATGATCCCCTTTTTCAACCTTCTGACAAGCAAAGTCAATGGGGGAACCAGACTCGCTGAACAACCGTGCTAGTAATTTAACAACTGCAGTGATTGACTTAACAAATGCGGCAAGAAAAGTCGTGAAATGGGGCAAAATTCAACCAATTTCTCACTGGCCACATAAATGTTGGGCTCCATTGTGGTCGTAAATTGAGGATCGCCTGCATGTGTGTTTGCATTTGTTTACTTACTCAGAAAGGTCATTGAGTGAAGTGAGCAGACTCCCTCTTTGTGTGTTTCTGTTTGCTTGGCTTCTGATAGTTTGTCGCCAACCCACCCTTTTGGCAAAAAAGGAAGTGGTTGTGCTTGGTCAGCACAAGCAAAATGGATCAGCCTCTCACAGCAAGTTGTGTTCCTCGCGACTCCGTTGAATTAGCTTCAGGCTTTGCAACCAGCAGCTTGTGGCAGTTCCACCTCCATGCCGAAAATGCCCAGTCATTGTTTCTGAGAAATTCAATGGGACTCTGACCACAGCTTCCAGGATTTTTTTTGCCTAGAGCAGGGGTAGGCAACCTTGGCTCTTTTATGACTTGTGGACTTCAACTCCCAGAATTCCTGAGCCAGCATGGGAGTTGAAGTCCACGAGTCATAAAATAGCCAAGGTTGCCTACCCCTGGCCTAGTGCAAACTTTACACAAATCTGATGACTTTTCAACAGGTTGGGTTTCTACAAGTAGTCCTCAGCTGATGACCACTAGAGTGCTCTAAATTTGGGTCATAAGTCATTGTGATCACTACCTGGGACACTCTTGTGGCTGCCTCGCTCAATGACCGCTACACCGATCTCTCCTGGTTGTGGTCACTGAGCAACTGCACTTTTTGATAGAGCGAAAGAGCTGACTGTCAAAAGAGGGCAAGGCAGCTCACCCCTGTGAATTTCTGAGCTTCCTATATTCAGCCCATCACAGGCTTTCCCCTCTCCTCTGTGCACGGAAGAGAACTGGTCCACTGGGCTGAAGAAAGGAAGCCCCAATCCCAAAAACATTCTTTCTCTTGCCCAACACACTGGGTCCCCTCCCCTCTCCGTGTACTAATCTAGGCTTTGGAGTGATTCTGAGAAGAGCAGTAGCTGTTGCAATGTTTCCGACTGGGAAAAAGCCTTTCTACCGCTAAGAAACATTCTGTCCACCAGCTTTAAACCTGCTGTTACCCCAGACAGGATCTGAAGGTGAGGCTCATCCTGCAGACGACAATTTTCAGTTGGAAGGTCCCCTTAATGGTCTCAGCCTTCTTCGTCGGTAGAAATACAGGGCCACGAAAGGGAGGCAGAATGTCTCTCCTCTTCCCCACAGGCACGGCCTTATTCTCACTCTGTACGTGCTCAAGGGGAGGCTGACCACAGCAGAAGATGGTTCAAGCTCTGAAAAAAACCACTGGCTCTTCCTCACACTTTACTCCCCACAGGAAATGTAAAAGCATCATCATCATCATCATCATCAAAAAAAAGATGTTGAGACTCTAGAAAGAGTGCAGAGAAGAGCAACAAAGTTGATTAGGGGACTGGAGGCTAAAACATATAAGGAAAGGTTGCTGGAATTGGGTATGTCCAGTTTAACAAAGAGAAGGACGAGGGGGGACATGATAGCAGCCTTCCAATATCTCAGGGGCTGCCCCAAAGAAGAGGGAGTCAAGCTATTTTCCAAAGCGCCTGAGGGCAGGACAAGAAGCAACGGATGGGACCTAATCAAGGAGAGAAGCAACCTAGAACTAAGGAGAAATTTCCTGACAGTTAGAATAATTAACCAGTGGAACAACCTGCCTCCAGAAGCTCTCAATGCTCCAACACTGGAAGTTTTTAAGAAGAGACTGGACAGCCATTTGTCCGAAATGGTATAGGGTTACCTGCCTGAGCAGGGGGTTGGACCTGATGACCTCCAAGGTCCCTTCCAACTTTATTATTATTATTATTATTATTATTATTATTATTATTATTATTATTATTATTATTATTATTATTATTATTATTATTATTATTATTATTATTATTATTATTATTATTATTATTATTATTATTATTATTAATTGTTATTGTTATTGTTAATAATTATTATTAATTATTATTAATTATTATTATTATTATTTTCATAGGAAGACGCGTCTTCACCTTGAAGATGCCCCAAGAGCCTTTGAGCGTTTTCATCCCAAGCGAAGGTTACTTGGGGTTCCTGATCTTCACCTGATCCTCGACTGCGGGGGGGGGGCTGGGCGGGGTCTGAAAGGGACGCGGCCTCTTTGTCCCTTCCTCTCCCGCTTCCCAGGAACAGATAACTCTCGGACTCTTTGACCCCCGCAGATCCGCCTCTCCCCCACAGATCCGCCTCTCCCCCAGGACGGGGAATTCCTGGAATGGGATGTTCTTGAACTTGTGACTCAAAGGAAACTTTCGCTTCCCTTTTCCAGCTTTCCTCAAAAGTTTTATCTGGTTGTCTGCCTAGCAACCGTAGACGTCATGGGAATGGTTTTTTTTTCTTACTGGTTGAGCTTAGCCAATCACCGGCTCGCTCTGAATTATTGCGCTATTGATCGCCCCGAGCGCCTCTTTCTTTGCCTGTGACAGCAGGAGAGCGGAGCGCAGGTTGAGGATGACGGACAGGATGGCTCTGCGCTCTGCGCCCCTCTGGCTCCTGTTGTTGGGGGTGGTCGCTCTACAGCAGATGTGCCTCGGTGAGTCCCTTCCAAGATGTAAGGGGTTCTGCCCCGTTTTTCTGCTGGTAGGAAGGCATCCAGGGAATATCTCTCTCTCTCTCTCTCTCTCTCTCTCTCTCTCTCTCTCTCTCTCTCTCTCTCTCTCTCTCTCTCTCTCTCATTCTCTCTCTCTGTGTGTCTGTCTGTCTCTGTCTCTCTAACTCTCTCTCTCTCTTTCTCTCTCTCTGTCTGTCTCTCTCTCTGTCTCTCTTTCTCATCCCCTTTTTCTGCTGCTGGTGGGAATCCATCCACGGAAGGTCTGTCTCTCTGTCTCTCTCTCTCTCCTTCCCTCCCTCCCTCTCTGCTGCCGCTCTCTCCCACTCCCCATCTCCCCGAGCCAGTCTAGGAACAGGACAAGGTGGCCCCTCCAGATGCCAGTCTCTCCTTTTTGCTGGAGAGGGTCAAGCAGAGGCCAGCGTGTAGAATCCCCCTTCTTTTTCGGAAACAAAAGTTAGGGATGGGACTCATCTCCCAGCTGATCTCCTGGAGGTACCGAGAAAAGTGGAGCACCTACGACACCGACACACACAGCCCCCACTCAAGGTTTCACGGCGACTTTTCTCTCGTCCTAGCCGTGGTCTCCTCCTGTTGAAGTGCTCGTAGAAAGCACCTTTCGGAAGAAAGTTTGAGCTGCAGAGTAAATCTGGTGCATTGCAAGTACCTCTGAATGACAGCATGAATGTCCTAACTGGGCTCCTGAAATGAAGCAATCTAATCAATTGGAATAGGGCTGGAAGGGACCTTGGAGGTCTTCTAGTCCAGGGCTTTTCAACCTTTTCACCCATTGTACCACTTTTAGGATATGGCAATATCCGAGTACCACCAGTCGCCTAGCAAGGTGTCAAAAACTTGATGACCAAAAAAAAAAAAAAGGAAAAAAGTGATAAAGTACAGGTAGTCCACGACTTACAACAGTTCACTTAATGACTGTTTGAAGTTACAATGGCACTGAAAAAAGTGCCCCCCAAGCCACAGCCGAGCAAGACGCCTGCCCACCCAGCGACGCTCTTCCTCCTGTTTGAGGTTTTCATTGTGAGCATTTCTGTTGAGGATTGGCAGCGGGGGTGGGGTGGGGTGTGTTTGGTTTTTATTCCCCCCGTCTGTTGGATGGTTGCAGCAGGTTTTGGTCACTTCACATGACCTTGGTACACTGTGACCGTCATAAATATGAATCAGTTGCCAAGCATCTGAATGTAAATCACAAGACCCTGGAGATGCTGCAACATTCCAGCTGATCGACGCTTCTTCTGGGCTCAGCAGAAGCGCCAGGATCAGCACCGAGCTCCAGCTGGAGCCTGGCGCTGATCCTGGCACTTCCACTGAGCCCTGACAGCCCTGAAGAAGCGCCGATCAGCTGGAAAGCGGCACTGATTCTGGCGCTTCCGCTCAGCCCTGACAGCCTTGCGGCTCCAACCATCTCTCACTCAGGCTTCTGCGGTGCTGCCACCAGTTCAGCTCATTCCCCTCCCCCGCTACCACTTTTCTAGGATGGTCGCGTACCACCTGCCAGGTGCCAATGTACCACAGGTGGTACCCATACCACTGGTTGAAAAGCCCTGTTCTAGTCCAACCCTCTGCTCAAGCAGGAGACGCTACAATCAGCATAGACCAGTGATGGCAAACCTTTTAGAGACCGAGTGCCCAAACTGCAACCCAAAACCCACTTATTTATCGCCCGGTGCCAGGTGGGCGTGGCCCACTTGGTGGGCGTGGCTGTGGTGGTCATGGCAGACTGGGTGGGTGTGGCCAAGGTGGGTGTAGTCACCTCAATGATGCTTGTGGGGAGGGACGCCTGTGGGGGCTGGGCAGGGTTGGGTGAGATCCGGGGGGTCTCTGGCAGGTGGGATGGTGGGCAGGAGGTCCATCCTGTGGGGTGAAGTGAGGCAAGGCGAGGCGAGGCAGGGCAGGGCAGGGGTGCCATTGTCGCAGGGCAAGGTGAGGCAGGGGCCGGGGTGGCTGCTGCCTGACACCATCGGCCCCCGCACACAAAGGCCAGCGAGCACATGGGGGCCGACAGTGTCCATCAGCAGCCACAGCCTGCCAACCCCTCAACCGGCGCACTCTGGGGCTCCGCAGCCCATTGCCAGCAGTTCAGAGAAGCCTCCTCTGAGCTGGACGGATAGCCGACAGCTGAGCAGGCGATGCAGTGGGTCATGCCCGGGAAAAGGAGAGCATGCGATGGCAGGAGGGATGGGATGGAGGGGAGGGAAACCAGCTGTGCTGGGATACATCCGGGCGGCTGGTTGAAGAGGGATGGTTGCCATCTCCAGGGCATGGCGCACGTGCCCACAGAAAGGGCTCTGAGTGCCGCCTCTGGCACGCGTGCCATAGGTTCACAACCATTGGCATAGACAATCCTATCATCAGCAGTGAGATTTTCTGTGGAATGAGGGTGAGCCCCACGGAGTCCTGGGTTCAAAGCCCATTCCTGATCAGATGCCTGAACTCTGGGATGGGAGGGGGAGGGGCTGCCTGGCTTCATTGCGGCAGCTGCCTTCCCGCTCCCTTTGACTGCCCACATCACCCCAGCAAGGGCTTTGAGTTTCTCCAAAGGGTCCCATGGCCTCTGCTTTCACTTGTATGCCTCCTTCCCCCTCTCCCTACCCTGTTTTATAAAATCTCTCCTCAAATCTTTATTTATTAACAACCCACATTGGCCCCCCGGTGAGGCGAGGATTTCATTTTATTTTTTTCCCTCATGAAACTGGGTGACCAGGTGGGGTTTCTTGCTGCTTTTGATCTTCTGGTGGTGCAGTGGTGAGAATGCAGGACTGCAGGCTACTTCTGCTGATTGCCAGCTGCCTGCAATTTGGCAAACAAAGTCATTACTAAAAGCCAACATGGGTTTGTCAAAAACAAATCATGCCAGACAAAATCTTATTGCATTCTTTGACCAGGTGACAAAATTAGTGGACCAGAGGAATGCTGTGGATATAATTTACTTGGACTTCAATAAGGCATTTGATAAAGTAGATCACAACCTACTACTTGATAAGATAGAAAAATATGGGTTACATAGCATCACCACCACATGGATTCGTAGCTGGCTGACCGGCCGTACTCAGCGTGTGGTCCTCAATGGAACCACATCTACATGGAGGGAAGTGTGCAGTGGGTGCCTCAGGGCTTTGTTTTCGGCGCAGTGCTCTTCAACATCTTCGTCAATGATCTGGATGAGGGGATAGATGGGGAATTCATCAAATTGGCAGACAACACCAAGCTGGCAGGAATAGTCAACACTCCAGAAGATAGACTTAAGATACAGGAGGATCTTGACAGACTTGAACACTGGACGCTTTCTAACAAAATGAAATTCAATGGTGAAAAAAATAAGGTTCTATATTTAGGCAACAAAAATCAAATGTACAGGTATAGTAGGTGGTACCTTGCTCAATAGTAGTAAATGTGAGAGGGATCTCGGGGTCCTCGTGGACCATCACTTAAATATAAGCTAGCAGTGTGCTGTAGCTGCCAAAAAAGCCAACACAGTAGTAGGCTGCCTTAACAGAGGGATAGAGTCAAGATCACGTGAAGTGTTAATACCACTTTATAGCACCTTGGTAAGGCCACACTTGGAATACTGCATCCAGTTTTGGTCACCACATTGTAAAAAAGATGTTGAGACTCTAGAGAGAGTGCAGAGAAGAGCAACAAAGATGATTGTTGAGTCCCGCAAGGGAGATAGGGCGGTATATAAATTTAATAAATAAATAAATAAATAAATAAATAAAAGATTAGGGGACTGGGGGCTAAATCATATAAGGAATGATTGCTGGAATTGGGTATATTTAGTTTAATGAAGAGAAGGATGAGGGGGGACATGATAGCAGTGTTCCAATATCTCAGGGGCTGCCCCAAAGAAGAGGGAGTCAAGCTATTCTCCAAAGCACCTGAAGGCAGGACAAGAAGCAACAGGTGGAAACTAATCAAGGAGGGAAGCAACCTAGAACTAAGGAGAAATTTCCTGACAGTTAGAACAATTAATCAATGGAACAACCTGCCTCCAGAAGCGGTGAATGCTCCAACACTGGAAATTTTCAAGAAGAGACTGGACAGCCATTTGTCTGAAATGGTATAGGGTTTCCTGCCTGAGCAGGGGGATGGACTAGATGACCTCCAAGGTCCCTTCCAACATTATTATTATTATTATTATTATTATTATTATTATTATTATTATTATTATTATTATTATTATTATTATTATTATTATTATTACTACTACTACTACTACTACTACTACTATTACTATTACTACTACTACTACTATTACTATTATCATAATATGACCTCCAAGGTCCCTTCCAACATTATTATTATTATTATTATTATTATTATTATTATTATTACTACTACTACTACTACTATTACTATTACTATTACTATTACTATTACTATTATTACTACTACTACTACTATTACTATTATCATAATATGACCTTCAAGGTCCCTTCCAACTTTACTATTATTATTATTATTATTATTATTATTATTACTACTACTACTATTACTACTACTACTACTACTACTACTACTACTACTACTATTACTATTATCATAATATGACCTTCAAGGTCCCTTCCCTAACCCTAAACTGCTCAGAGAGGGCTGTAACACACTATGAATCGGTATATAAGTCTGTGCTATTGCTATTGCTTGCTATTCTGCGGGTGGAACCCCTATTCTCCCTGTAGGTGACTGCAGCCTCCTTAGGCCAGTCTGTTTGAGGCCTTGCTGGAAGACGGAAGGGCACAATTGAGGGGGGCAGGTAGATTTTGGGGTTCCTGTCCTCCCTTTGATCCTGCTTTCTCTTCCCTTTCTCTCTCAACCCCTTCAGAAGCTGCTTTTCTGCCTCTCCCTCCCTCCCTCTTTCCACCCTCTGCCTCCTCTTCCTCTTCCATCATCTATTCCTTCATTTTCCCCTTTCTCCTCTCCACCCCTC